TTCTATAGCACTCAACCCCGATTAAAGTACACAGGCTCTGAGCGCTTTACAATACAGTACAACGTACAACAGTAACATGAAACGTTGTGTTCTGACCAAGGGAAAATCTCTCCAATTCATTTCCATCTTATTAATTTAAAAACAGAAATGGCTTCAGCTGACATTTGAATGAAACAAAAGATTTGATGTCTCTTATTAAAGTACTTGGCTAAGCATTCCAGATTCCAGATCTTGGGGCCTTGGTATTCAAATGCCCTTTCACCCACTGTTTTAACGTTCATTGATAGACAAAGAAATTTCTTTTTGTCAGCTGATGACATTAAACTGCGAGTTGGAATGTACAGTCTCAACAGATTTGATAAATGTGATGGCGAATTATCGGATCATCCAACCGCAGACACAAAAGTTGACCAGCAGACGGAGACAGAGATGTAGAATGTACAGATACTATAATACACCTGCTTCCCACACTTAGCACAGATGGAACGGGGGAACTATCAACAGACACCAACAGACTTGATCGAAAGCTACTCTCTCTCTCTCTCCCTCTCTCTCTCTCTCTCTCTCTCTCTCTCTCTCTCTCTGTCTCCCCATCCCTCTGTCTGTCTCTCCATCTCTCTATCTTTCTGTCTGTCTGTCTCTCCATCTCTCTCTGTCTGTCTCTCCATCTCTCTCTGTCTGTCTCTAAATCTCTCTCTATCTTTCTGTCTGTCTCTGCACCTCCCCATCTCTCTCTCTGTCTGTCTCTCCATCTCTCTGTCTGTCTGTCAGTCTGTCTCTCTGTCTGTCTCTCCATCTCTCTGTCTGTCTGTCAGTCTGTCTCTCTGTCTGTCTCTCCACCTCTCTGTCTCTCTGTCTGTCTGTCAGTCTCTCCACCACTCTGTCTCTCTGTCTGTCAGTCTCTCCACCACTCTGTCTCTCTGTCTGTCTGTCTTTCCACCTCTCTGTCTCTCTGTCTGTCTCTCTCTACTCAGTCCGCCTGTGTCTCTCACGGTTGGCACACGGTCGTACGCGCAGTTGTCCCTCACGCGCACCAGTTTCTCGCGAGGAGTGAGTGAGGGAGTGTGGAGTGAGTGAGGGAAGGGAGCAAGTACGAGCGACTCACGCGCGAGCCAAGGTGCGCTGTGTGGTGGCGGTGTGAGTGAGCAGGGCGGGCCAGGAGTCGTGAGTCGGGAGTGAGTGG